CAAGGCCCGACACTCGTCCCTCCCGCTCTGTTCAAGGCCGACACTCGATCCACGCTGTTCAAGGCCCGCACTCGCAGTCCCTTACGTCTCTGAAGACCCGACGTTTACTCAAAGAAGACCCAACGTTCAGCTTCCTACGGTCCTCCCAAAGACCTGACGTCTTAAGCTTAAAGTAACGTGATTGTAACGCTGATACACCTTGATGGTGATTCAGCTCCTTGTAAACCAACTCAAAGTTAGTGGAAATCATTGAATTGCAACTAGGGCTTTAGGCCTCGTGCTTTTTCCTTTTTAAGGGTTTCCGTAAAAATCTATGTAATTCTCGCTGTGGTGAGATAGTTGTACCTACGTACAGTCGTTAAGCGATACACAGTGTAAATCTCTATCGCCGTGTATTTTCTAGTCCGCAACAACTTAAATTAATAACTTTGCATGAGATTCCAACTAGAGAATAAAGTGAGAGCTCCTGGATATTATAAATTCAACCTGAAAAACTTGTAACGAATGATCTCATAACTCGTTAAATTTTGAAATTTGAAGAGAAAATAAAGAGATTGTGTGTGGAGATATAATGAATAGAAAGAATAAGTGACTGGGAATGGGGAATGTTTGAATGGTTTTAGCATTAATTTGATATAAATTAAAATAGTTTAATTTAATAGAACATTACTTTTGCTTATGATGATTACAAATTAAAATTTTCAAAGGAGAAATCTTGAATCTATTTGAATTTTAGAAAATATTTTTGATAATACACTTTTATTCGATATGATCATTGAATATAAGAATCAATTGAAATAATAACTAAAAATTAATAATTTAATAGAAAATTTAAGAATTAAATATTAAAAAGTAATAATCTTTATATTATCAAATATTTAAAATAAATTAATAGTGTGATTGTATATATTCTTAATTAGTACATATTTTTTAATAATTAATAAAATGCCTCTAAATTTTCAAAAACAAAGTTTAAAAGTAAAAATTTTGACATTAATTCTCTAGCTATTACGAAATATGTCGCTTCTTCAAGCGCAACTTCTTTCACGGACTATCGACGGACTTAAACGCCCGGAATTCGTCTAGGGTAGGGAAAATCGACATATAAACATCATTTTTTTCGTCGAAATTGGCGCCCGAATTCTGCCGCGAAAACCACAAAAATAAAAAAAAAGAAGAAGCAAGGGTGGAGCTCACAGCTCAGCAAAGCCAAACACCAATCTTAATTCTCAGAAAACAGAACCAACTTCATCGGATAGAAATCAGATCAAGAAATCGAGAACACGAATTAGGAAATCAAAACTTTAGGACAGTATCAAATCACTCAAGTCGTACGATCGTAATCAGAACAGAACAAATCAAACAGAGTCGAATCGAAATCAGAACGTAGCGGATCATATGCATAATCAATATCACATTTCGTAGCAGAACCAGAACAGAATACAGCAAAATTAGTACCAGATACATATAGCTAATGCCCTGACACATATAGACGGAATTCCTATGGGATTCCGGCCTTTGCTCCCTTCGCCAAGACACTGACTGAACCATCATAGGGATCCAGGCACCTTATGTCCCCTTTGTGCTCACGCACCAAACAGATGTGCTTATAGCACCACAACAGAATTCATCGGATCCGGAACAGAACAGACCTGTCAGATTTTGATCTCATTGCAGATTTCACGTTTCAACTAACTGAATCAATCATAGGATTCAGGCCCTTATAACTCCTTTTTATGCTTATACACATAGCGATTTAATTCCAGAAGAATACGGACAATTCAAAACATATCCCAAAATTCGAGGCAGCAAACGGCAGGATACGGAAATTTTACCGACAAAAATTACTGCAAAGCAAATCTCAATTACCGATTCCTATCAGAGAGTACAGACTATCGAACAGTTTCAAAACTAATATTTACTCGCTAAAGATAAATTCATCATCTCACAGAAAAATTTCTGGTTCGACTAAAAACACAGTCGAATCAAAATCACCCGCGAAAATCTTCAGAAAATCAATCAAAATGTGGGCAGCCTCGGCACCGTCAAACAATATACAGAAAGTTACGCGGTAAAAACTGGCCATCAACAGATACGGACAAAAATCAATTACGGAAAACGAAATCCGGACAGACTAGGATACGCCAACACGACGGTTCTGAAATTGAGAAAGGCGGAATGGCTGCCTTACTCGGCCACAGCACCACTTTCCTCAACAGCCACTTCGGGCGACAACGGCTCCGGGTCGTCGAATCAACTTTTCCACTTTTCCTTCGTTTTTCTCTCTCCTCAGCGTTTTTCTCTCTCTTCAAAATATCTCATTTCTAAATATATGATCAGACTGATCGTGCCCGGACATAAGCACGAACGCTTCGTACGGAAAGCACGAGTCCATGAAGAGAGGAATTCCGTCCCAGACGAAAAATGACATATCGTTACTGGCGAGGGTTCACGGGAGAAATTTCGTCCAGACGACCAATTAAATTGCGGTTTCGTCCCGACGAATCATACAACCAAAATTGATTTTCTGCACAACCTGTACGATCGTCCCCGGACGATCCAAATATTCGTCGGAGCGAACCTGGAGCAAAAAACTGATATTACACTCCTGACCTCACCCACACGAGGTTATCACGCTCGTCGAGCGCGCCACATACAACCTCGGATAAGTCTTACATCCTTTGTGTGATTTCTCTCGACCTCTTCCACACTAGGTTAATGTCATCGACAATATTCTGACTAACAATCTCGCATTAGGTCTACATCTCCTTGGTGGATTCTCCTGAAGCCTCATCCCACGAATTAACGTCGTCGAGCAGGGCTCCGACAATAACCGGATAGGGTCTACATCCTTGGTGGATCTTCTCTCGACCTCTGTCACACTGTTTAATGTTCATCGAAACAAATGTTCGACAATATATCTCGGATGAAATCTTACATCCTTGCGTGGATTCTCCTAGACTCATCCCACAACAGGTTACGTCGTCGAGCAGGCTCCGACATACAACCTCGGATAGCGTCTTACATCCGTTGGTGGATTTCTTCTCGACCTCTTCCTCACAGGTTAATGTCGAATCGTAACAAATATGTTCTGAACATACAACCTTCGGATAGGACTTACCGACGTCGCTTCTCCCTGTCGCTCAAGACTTCTGCTCGTCA